CGGTAAGAAAGAGCAAGGCCGGCTTCGCAGTCTCTAAATGGTAGTGGACTGCGTTGATATTGGAATTGAGCCCCCTAACATTTGTGAAGTCCACGGCGAGCGTGGACGGGGGTGCCTTTGTTGAATTGCTCCGTTTGCCCCGAGAACGATAACTGTTTTTGTTGAGCGCAGAATTGCCCCCCAGAATACGAAGGGCAGCCTGTGCGTCCACCAGCGGGTGCTGAGTGTCCCGGTGTTGGACACCCAGAGGGGGATTCTCCACCGCGAGGTCGTGTGGTACCCCCCTGGGGTAGATTCTGTTTGTTCTGCACCTTCATATTTCATATGGGGGGGATGGGCTCCGGGAGTCTCCCTCACCGTACGAAAGGCGAGTACAATAAGGCGAACCTATTGCCTCACTTCACGCCGGTTTTCTAAGAGACAGTGGTACTGCCCCGGTCGTGCCTGCCCATTTCTGAAGCCCGAAGGCAACAACATCGCACTCCCACTAGGAAAACTAGTGTTGATTATGTGTGAGTGCGATGACTGCTTTAAGAAACTTTTAAAATTAAAAATTTAACAAAAATCCTTTAAAATTCACCGTCTCTTCTTGAACTACACAGTGAAGCCTTCCAACTGAACAATTTATAAACATCTGTTAAACGACACAAAAGGTACGAGGAGTTAGAATTCTCCTGTAAAAACCTTTGGTTGTCACGACTTGATTCTTAAAATTGACCTCCAGAAGTTGAGATAACTTTTGACCAAGTCTTACAGTCACTAACATTCATGATTCGGCGATTAAGCCTATTAGAATTTTCCGCCTACGTTGGGGAGGAGGACGATGTTTTATTTACAAGAAATAATAAAACAATTAAATTCATATAAATCCAGAATTTTAATGGAGGCGTCACATGTAGCGCATAAATAATTTCTTTAATGTAACGTAAAGATAAAATCTACAATCTTAATCTTCTAATGTATATTTAATTTTAATACTCATTAAATATACATTAGAATGATTTGTAATAATTACGCAGACATACATTGAACAAGATTTAATGGCTTTGATAAACTAATTTACCTAAATATAACGCAGCGCAGCGTAGACCTTGTGCAGTGCTACGAAAGTGCTACGGAAAGCTACATTTTAACTACTGGAGAACTGGTAAAACTGGTTTATTCTTGACAATATAATGGCAGATATTATTTTGTTTTTGACTATATACGACCGAGTCACCGCAAAAGTTTGATGTCACTCGATACAGAACTCTGGCAAACAAAAATTACACAAATATGAAAACTGTACTGTTCGAAGACCTTATTTCGTTAATTACTTCTTTTTACAATTATTTAATTACATCATTTGCCGTTCATTAAGCGCTCATCCCTGGTACGGCACGTAGACGTAGACGTTAAGGTACGATTCCACCAAAATAGCGTGCGGTACATTTGTTTATAATAATTTTGTGCAGAACAATAGCAGAGCACTAAGCGCGTATCGCATTTGGCTTCTGCCTCCACCCAATAGTCAGAAGCTTTTGCGCACGCACACTTGTTCACGATCTTGCTCACTAAAGATTCTTGATTGCCAACAGTTGCTAATATGGAAAACGTTGTGCTTTGTAATATATTCTTGATCATTTTAAAAATTACTTGGCATAGTGCGCGCACAATTAAATGTGTTTGCTTTGGTAGCGGAAGCAAGACTGAACGCGCGAACAACGAGTAGTATGCGCATTGACACGAGTCCACTACTTGTACTGTGGGCGCGTACACAAGTGCACAGTTGTGCGCGGACTTTGCTTCACACATGTTTAGCACACTGGTGTAATCGTACCTTAACATATTCCGCATACGTGGGGTAATTGTCGGAGTTGGTTTTAACGAGTTCGAAAATATTCGCTGTCTACCCGCTGCAAGAAGAGCGCAAAAGTAAAAAAAGGAAAAAGCAGTTTACCACAAGGCATTTTCAGCTTATTATACATTAAATCAATAGAAGCCTACATTAAAAATCTCTTCTAATAAGTTTTAAAGCAAAAAACATTCTCTCCTTCTTTGTAGTAGTAATGGAGCAATACTTTTTTTTCCTCAACTCAACTTACGAACCGACATCATACATTTGACTGGTGTCTTAAATACTGACATTTGACCTTGACCGATACTGGCTGGGGCTTTAAGGGAATGTTTACACGACGAAGAGATTCTTGTGTCTTCATTGGACTAAATTAAGTCGACTTCAGTAAGAGACACCATGTAAAAGGGTCTTGATTTTAGACAACATTTCGTTCCGACACTGCTCGTCTCGTCAACCCGAGAAATATCAGCTGTCATCCGCATAAGCGTTTGCTTTCTGCAACATATCATTGATATACAGGAGGAACATTGATGGAGATGGTTCACATATAGCCTTAAAGAACTCCGGTATTTATGGGTTTTAAGTCGTAACAGTCAAAAGCGACCTTGATGTTCCGATCAGTCAAAAATCTAGGGTTCCATTCGCACACCCTGCACTTCTCTCACAAATTAAAAAAAACCTTCGCAATGTCTAAACTGACGGCAAGTGCTTCCCCTTTAGACCCTACAGCCTTGCCTATCAGCGTGTGAGCAAGCCCAAATACCACCAGCTGAGCGACCTCGGCGAAGCTATACTGACGGTCACTAATCAGCTGTGGCTTCTCTGCGTACTACAGGAGCTGGCTGTTTATAATGGACTCCATTACTTTCAAAAGCAAAAGACGTGATGGCCATAGGGCTCGAGTGGGAGAACGTTAACCTTTTTTAGGGATGAATTAACACGGTCTTCCAAGCATTAACAATGCCGCGAGAATAGAAGTGCCGCGAGTAAAGACGGATACCGGAGCAGCGCACCACCACTATGTGGAAACACTGAATAATTTCCGAACCAATTCGACTTAGAGTCCTTTAAGAAAAAGCGTACCAATTCTTAAAAGACCGGGAACGCTCAGCCTTCTGGTAATTTGAGAGTCCATGGGCGGTAGTATCACTTAACATCAGGTGAGCCACCTGCCCATTTATCTCTTGTTACATAATAAAATGGGAATAATGACTATGTACATTATACACACATGTTACATATGTGTTGTAATATTTATATTTCCTAGAAGCAAGATGGTTTCCACGTTAGAAGAATGGGGCTATTATGGCATATTTAAATATGTTGGCCGATGTGCCCGCTTCCTTGGAATGTTTCCGTTTATAATGACGCCTGAACCAAAAGTCTCAACATGGCAAAAATACTATGGATTATTTATCATCTTACCTTGGATAAGTATGTGTACTATTTATTGTATTTATATATATATATATATATATATATATATATATATATATATATATTTATTGTATTATATTATATATATATATATATTACTATAGTAACATTACATTAAACCAGTCTTATGTTCTTTCTGTTTAATTCTGTCATCACTAAATTCGTCTTGCAACCCGAACTACGTAATAATGGATGATTTATTTGAAATAAGGAAAAGTTTTCTATATTTTCAGATGGTCTTTTCCTCTATTCACTATATAGAGAGTTTATGAATATAAAAGGGAGCTCTGCATACATTTGGACTATACTATACATAATTAATACAACATCTACATTATTGTATATACATTTTGCTGTTTGGACTGCTCCAACCCGTATTTATTCCTGGTTATTGTGTTTAAGGAATATTGAAAAGGTACTTTATCTTTTGCACAAAACATCTCATATCTATTATAATACTAGCTGATCCGGCAAACGTCGTTTTGCCATGTATATCATTTATAATAAAAAAATAGGGGTTGATCGTAGAGGGGTGAAAATTAGGGGTTGTATGTATTTTTTAATGCTGTAATATTAAAAAAAATTAAAATAATAACTAAAAATAAAAAAAAATTTAGGGGTGGACTACCCTTAACATTTAGGGGGATGAAAAATAGATGTTATCCGATTCTCAGACATACCCAATATGCACACAAAATTTCATGAGAATCGGTCAAGCCGTTTCGGAGGAGTTTAACTACAAACACCGCGACACGAGAATTTTATATATTAGATATTATATTTCATTTTTACAGATATTAGTCAGAACTAAGGAAACAAAAGAAAACGAGTTGTTCAGATGTAAAGTGTTAACTGTCTACTTCTTAACTATATTATTTGCTACGTTCGCAAATTCTATAGAGTTGTGTAATATAATGAATAACTGCACGTACAGTAAGTTTTTTTAATTATTTGACGTCCATAAGCTATGCTTATCCGGTAAAATAATGCATTTAGTAAATTGCTGCGGAACGCTTAATACGCACAATATTCGGATAATGGCGTATTTTAGTATTTAAAAGTGTAAAATAATGTCAGTAATGAAAATGGATTGACATATATTTAAGGATAATATGTATGTCAAGCTACTTAAATATACAAATTACCTTATTTAAAAAAAACGTCAAATCGATGAATCTCACTGAATCAGTCCTGATTATTCTGTTGATCAAGTCAGTCAGTGTAATATACAAATATTGACGTCGTTTCATAAAATAATACTCATATTAGTGTTTAAAATTACAAAGAACAGCACAATTAGATATGCCAAAATTAATATGTAAAATGTAATACATTACGAATATATTTTCTCCCTTTTTCCCCTCCCCCCTCCCCCAAGTCTTCTGCAAGCTCCAGCACCTGGGTAAGATTTATAAGGGCCTTTACTTGATCGGGCCAGTAGTAGGGGATCGGTGTCGAAGTCTAGTGTTCTCCACCATGCTATTCCCAATAAGTTTTTCTAAATTTACTGGACCTCGTGTGTCGTGGACGACGTGTTACATGTAATTGCATGCAAGTTTATCTCGCAATCACCGCGGCTATATCTGCATTTCTATTAAATTAGTCTTTTGTTGCAGTTTGCTTTTTCGAAAAATTTAACATCTCCTTCTTATATGGTATGTGTACGATCTGCGACTCGTTTTTATTCATAATACTCATAGCTCGGGTACATACAGCTACAAAAATAATGAATGAAGAACTAAACAAGCTTCTGCATGAAGGTATGTTAATTTAATGCACCTATGGAAAATTTCAAATACCTCGTTGGTCCAGAGATTGATTAGTTTGACTTTGCATTGAAAATACGCCACAAATATATGAATTACGAAATGTTGGCGTGGCCATAGATTAGACAAACATAGAATATGTCATGGACAATTGTCAAAACAATAACAATGACAGCTCTTGGGTGATACTTTATTCAATTGGCTTTTGCTTGTATCTTTACGTTTTGTTGATAATGTAATTTTTTACAGACGTGGACAAAAGGCCAATTTTGCTGAACAATTACATGATCGGGTCTAATTTTAAAGGTAAATTATATAATATAAGTTACACCTTTCACGGGCTGACTTTCAGGAAATGTGTATTAATTTTATTTATGAAGATTGATAAAAAAAGTATAGGGAGGAAATGCTGCCAGCGTTAATGTCCGTCTTCCACAGCATAAGTGTTGAGCGAGAAATAGTTGACCAGCGGAACAGAGTTTGAAGTTATAATAGATTTTGTTCATTTTCTGCCTAGTTCTCGCTCCATCCAGCGAGGTTGTGCGTCCTTTACGAGCGGGGACCTGACCGGACCTGACCCCTAATCTTTGTCATTTGTATTCCACAAACAAGGATATTTTCTCTTGGCTTCAATAAAGAGCTCCATCACGTCTCAAAAGTCGTGGCGTTGCACCGACAACTACACTTGTGTTCCGGACAAGGGACGAACGAAGTGAAGGTAGCGGGACGTTACGACTCCGTTCAAAACTAGTTTTCAAGAGCATACGCAGCGGACTCCGCTTTACTCGCTTGCTCCGCTCTGCTTTACTCTTTTGCAATCGAAGTAATTGTATGTAATATAATAAAACTAGTTCAGCGAGTTTCAACTCGCCTAACTCGCTAACCTCGTATGTGACTCTTTCAACTCGCACACCCCGCTCCGCTTCTCTCCGGTGCACATGCACCAAAACACATGTATGAAAATCATCGTTACGAGTATAGCGGAGTCCGTAATGGGTCCGTTCCGCTCGCAGTGGAAGGCGGGCGTAAAGGTACACTGCCACAGGGACCAAACTTTTTGAGATTGTTTTTTATTTTCTATTTATTAATTTGTAATTATTATTACTATTATGGTTAAGAAAATTGTAAATACAATATATTTGATTGTTATATAATCTATCTTCCATGTTAAATTAATGATTATTACGCTATGAGAACTATTTAATTTTCAGCCCACAAGTGCAGCCATGGAGCTGAGAAAGTACGTGAACTTTCTAATACCTACATGACAATAAGCGAAGTAATTAAGACAGTGATGGAGACCGGAGAAGTGGGCGTGTTCTTATACATTATGAATAATCTTGTACGTTTGATTACTAGGGTCTACAAATATGCTCGTTGGCAATATTTGATCCAGGACGAGAGATTTGGTAAGTTGGTATAAATTAAGAAATAAATATTTTATATTACCTGAATTAACGCAGTTTTTGCACTGTGCTTCAATTTGGGGTTCTAGTGGTCTAAACGGTTCGTACGTGTTCCACATACCTTTCTAGAACTTGGCAATGAATCGCACATTCAAATTTCACCTTTGTAGGCTTAAAAATCCAAGTTATGTAACACAAAAAAAATATGCACCACAAAGAACGGTTCGGTGGCCGTCGATACATAATCTTATACTAGAGTAAGTCCTGAGTACATACCTCGTTGTACTGCTTGTTACTAGGAAGAAAGGCACACAATTACGTCAGCCGTAAGGATTTGGAGTAATTGTTAGTTTGGGAACAAAGAGAGGTTAGACTGATGCTGTACCTTGCCTTACAATAATAGTTCACGAACACGCACAAAACACTCACTGTAAAAGTCTAAATGGAGGGCGTAACTATTGAAAATTATAAGTAACAAAAAGGTTATATATCATAATAACAATGCATCTAATGTTACCCGAATGAATCTCAACAATGACTAATGAATAAATGTAAGAGGATCGGCCGAGTAAAAAGATTTTTGAGATCACCCTCATCAAATTTAATAAAATATAAAAATATGTATTTCGAACACATTGAAAAAATGATTACAATTGCAATATTCTCTAAATTAGATATTTCGCCTCTTTTTGTCAAATTGTGTAAATTACGATGTGATGAAAAGAGACAGATGAGTACTTCTATTACTACTTCGGTTTATTTTTTATGAATAACGGATTTGGGCTTCATCAATAGCGACGAAAATCGTGTCAAATCACGTTCTCGTTCTCACTCTTCAAATATCACATGTCATGTCTCAAGCCTTACCTTGGAGAGAGTGATACAATACGATGTTGATATACGTTCGAACTTATACTTTTTTCATTATAGATGAACACATCATTCTTTCAAGCATCTTGGAGATATTCTGGTGTACACAAACCGTTGTAAAATCATTTCTTTTTTGCGAGGGACCTCATCAAATTCACAGCAAGGTATGTTTGTATCGAATCTAACGAAAATTAACTTGAATTTTTTTATGCCAATATGGTGTTTAATTTCAGTCATTGTACGAACACAAGGACACAATTATCACATAAACATTAAACTCTATGATAACCGAAAACAATGGCTATACAACCTTTAAGGTTTGGGCCTCAGATTTCTGTCTGAAGGAAACTAGGTGATCAGCTTTCTGTGGCTGACAAACGCCATCGACTTTTTGGTTCTAAAACCGGTTTCCTCGCGATGTTTTCCTTCACCGTACGAGCAAGTATAAAAGTGCACTTAGACAGAAAGTGCATTGACGCAAAGCTGGGGTTTGAACCTAAGAGCTTAGGGATGAGAGTGGCCCGCTGAAGACACTAGGTCAATACTTCCCAAAACTCTATTTTAGTTATGAACACAAAATTACACGTAAACAAAAATCTAATAAATATTTATAAGTGAAGTTCAAATATTTATTAACGAATGAGTTACCTCATCACGTTAGTCCGGCTTGCAATAGTATTTAAATTTGGCAGTGCCCAGACTGCAGATCTGATTTATAGGATTTCAGATCTTGTTAGAAAATAACAATCAATGGAAGTATGCTGCTTTTAGGAAATTAGAAAATGCTTCTAAATTCACGGTATCTTTTTCTAAATAAAATCCTTAATCTACATAGAACTGAAAAGTTCATGAACAATAGCCGTATAAATTACAAAACGAATTATAATATATCCTCAAGGTTATGAAGTTTGTACCGTGCAGTGCTTTAAATATGTTTTTAGTATATTTTTTGAACAAAGTGTAGTCTAGTTCATTTATCCTTAAATAAACTCCAACGCCGTACTGCTGTAACTATCAATTACCGCAGTTGCTTCTGTTTTTTGAATCGGTAAGACATATTTTCGAAAACCTAAAGTTTAATTTACATGTTTCGTTTTCACGTTTGTTTTTTCCTATATATAAATAGAAATTAAATTAATATTTTAGTTGCAAGAAACTCAAGACTTAATCGCCAGACTGAAGAATAAATATCACGAGGATACAATATCAAATGAGCTACACTTATTTCTTCGTTTGACGAGGCTCAGTCGACCCACTTTTACGCCGCTTAGCGTCTGTACTCTGAATAGGGGTTTAGTTGCTAAGGTAGGTATTTAGTGGCAATTTGGTCGAATATGAACACTTAACAATTTACTTCCATCTATATAATTATCTAGGTTGTAGTATACAGCGAAAGGAATCAATATTTGATAGATTTTGCATGTGGTACACAAAATTAGTAGGACTCAAAGCCTTTATACTTGATGTTTTAGAAAAGCTGGGCTCTAGGGAAATTGAAAACTGCTTTTTTCACCTTCAACGCTTTGGAAATGAGTATAGCTATTTTTAAACCAAATAACAAAATCTTATTATAGTCGTGGTTTCACAAAGTAAAGGCACTCTAAAAGTTTCAAAATTTTAGTGAAAGCTACTGGTTTTAATTATAAATGTAATATTCAGAACCAAGACTGATTCTTGACACTCAGAATTAAGATTATGATTATTTATCTGTTTAGAATAAGCACTATACATTTCGTCAGTTTCAGTAAACCTCGTTATGTGAATATTTTTTTTAGATACTCGGATGCACCGCAACGTATTTAATAGCTTTCATGCAACTGGAAGTAAATGATAAATCAAATAAGTAAAAAGAGTTTGGCTATTATAGTATTAATTAAAACATTATTTTCAAAAAGCAACTTAGTTCATGTGTGTGCACATTTAGCATAATTTACACGTTAGGAGGAAACGCTTTGAATAAAAAATGCCACAAGGCTCGCAAGTGCGTTGCCGGCCTTTTAAGAATTGGTACTCTCTTTTCTTGAAGAACCCTAAGTCGAATTGGTTCGGCAAAACTTTAGTGGGCAGCTGGTTCCACATAAAGGTGGTGCGCGGTAAAAACTGCCTTAAGAAACTCTCAGTTGTGGAACAACAGACGTCGAGGTGATACTGATTGTATTTTGTATTCTACCTTGTCGGCCGATGATGAAACTTAGCTACAGGTATTAATCCGAACAACTCCTCGGAACACTCTCCATGATACCATGATGCGGTAGAAGATGCAGAAAGGCCCCACATCTCTACGCAACGTCGAGGGATCAAGCCGCTTGGAAAGTGACTGGTCGTCGACGATTCGAATTGCTCTTCGTTGACTAAGGCCAAGCGGAAGAAGCTGGTACTGGGGCGCTCCCGCCTAGATGTGAGAATAGCAGGTACTCCATGTGAGGCTGAATTTGCGCTTTATAGAGTTGCAAGCGGTGGCCCGGAGTGAAGTACCGTCTCGCCTTGCTGAGCACACCAAGCTTGTTAGAGGCTAACTTAAGCTTTCCTTCCAAACTTCGAAACTAAACGACTTTCTTCCTATGACCCGATGCTAGCTGAGGCTTTAAGGAGATTTCTTCGAAGGGAGGAGTAGCGACAAACGGTGTTTTTTTAGGAAAACGCGCATACTTCTTTTTGGGGTTAACTTGGACTAGATTTCGTCTACCCCAGTCCCAGTCTACGTAGCAGAGTTTCGACTTCAGACACAAGTTTGTTCCGATACTCATCGACAACTGCCCAGCCAATATAAAGAGTATCCCCAGTGCTGTCGACCGCATAGGAATGAATGTTTGTAAATTGCAACATATCATTGATAGCTGAATAAACAGGGTCAAGGATAGGACACAGCCTTGTGGGACACCAGACTTCACGGGTTTAAGGTCTGAACACGACCATGAATCTTCGATCAGCGAGAAAGCTGAAAATCCAGTTGCATAATTTATCGGGGAGCTCATAGGCTGGAAGCTTCGAGAGCAGTGCTCTGTGCCACACCCGATTGAAGGCTTTCGCTAAAAGTTACACCTGACTAATCAAGTTTCTCTTTCATATTTAACATAAATATTTGTATTACTTCATGCAATAAATTAAAAATGAATGTTGTGACGCTGTCTTTCTCTTGTGTAACTACTTTATGTAACTTTCTGTATCAATTCTTTCAGTAATTGTTTCTATAAAACAAATAAAAATATGGTAAAATAAAAAACCCTTTTTTTAAACTTCTTTACTACTATTCAGTGTACGTAATGTCCCTACAAATAAATTCTCTAAAATATATTGCTCAAAACAATTACGGGAACAAAACTTTAAAGTAGAACTTAACTTTTTACTTAAGGTTTTAATTATTACTGGCCACTAGATAATGTTAAGGCATTGTCGAAGAAAATCAAAAACAAAAGAGCATCGGCGTTTTGGTTAGTAGTCCGATAATAAAGTGGCAGTGTGTCTAGAAACACCTAAAAACAAAGTGACGTCTTTGAATTTTCATTACTTTCTAATCACAGAAAACACATTTTAAGTAGTTTTTTTCAATCTTTTGAGTATTAATAGAAATTGAAGTGAGCCTTTTGAGTATTGTTATTCATTGAAGCGAGTGAGTTTAGGTCATAATGCCAGATCTGACTGAATTGCATGTCTCCCGAGCTATCGCTTTGCTTGAAGTGGGTCGAACTATGCGTTATGTAGGAAATGATCTAGGAGTAGCCCCTTCTGTTATCTACAGACTTTGGAAGCGATACCGTGAGACGGGAGAATACTCACGAAGGCGTGGTCAAGGTCGAAAGAGAAAAACTACACGTTTGCAAGATCGCTACATCGTCAACTGTGCTTTACGTAACCGCACCACAACTGCAAGAGATCTACAAAATACACTAAGGACGGCTACTGGTGTAGAAATTTCCGACCAGACGGTAAGAAATAAGTTGTTGGAAGCCAATTTGAGATCACGCCGACCAGTTCGGGCTGTGCGTCTAACAATTCAACATAGACAAGCTCGCCGATAGTTCGCGCAAAATCACGCTAATTGGCAACTTCGACATTGGAGGCCAGTGCTTTTTACTGACGAATGACGATTCCGTCTAACACGTTGCGATGGGCGTCTCCGTGTTTACAGACGAGCGATACAGTGCAGCAGCAGTTCAGGAATATAACAAATTTGGATGTGGCTCTGTGATGGTTTAGGGCGGAGTTAGTTAGGACGAGCGCACAGATCTCGTCGTTGTTCCCGGGCGCTTGTGTGCTCAAACTTACATTGAAAATGTGATCGAAGATCATGTTTGGCCCGCAGCATATGGTATGGGCCCAGATTTTATTTTAATGCAAGATAATGCCAGGCCGCATACTGCAGCCATCACGTCAGATTACTTACGACAGCAGGAAATCCGTGTAATGGAGTGGCCTTCCATGAGCCCTGACCTAAATCCAATTGAACACATTTGGGACTTGCTTGACAGGCGCATCCGGAAGCGTCCGATTGCACCTCAAACACTGCAGCAGCTCACTGAAGCGTTGATTGAAGAATGGGAGCGAATTCCACAAGAAGATATTCGGAGGATCATACGAAGCATGCCGCGTCGTTGTCAAGCCGTGATTAGGGCTCATGGAGGCCACACACGTTACTGAAAGTCACTAAAGACGAATATTCAAACGATTTAAGAATATTTCTTTGATGGACCTTTTTTATCACCAATTAGTTTTTCGTCTACAATGCACATTTTAATTTTTTTTTTTAATAAAAAAAATACAAATTGAATTTTTTTATTAATTGTAGTAATTAACAAATTAACAAGATAAAAAATAGCGTACAAGTTAATTTAAATCTAATTTTAGTTTAAGCTATAGAATGGAGAAAAATCTTGTTCCGCTAATTGTTTTGAGCAGTATATAATATCATTTATTTGTCTTCTTGATCGCTCGTAATCTTCACTACCTGAAACCAGATATTGTTACATAAATATACACTAATACAATAACAATTGATTAACATCATATATATTTTTAATCTAATTAATGAAACTCCAGAAGAAATAACCTTACCGTCTGCTGGATATTTGGGTAACGGCCGCAGGCTAAATGGGTAGAAATAGGCACTTGGTACTCTTCTAAAAATTATGGGTTTTCCTTGAGTTTTTCGCTCTGTAAAAAGTGTAAATAATTCCGTTTAATAAATCAGACCATAATCAGCTGAAATAATATAATTATTTTTTTACGCTTATTAGTATAAATTAATTTCAATATAACCGTATTAAACAAAAGTTATCACTATCCCAAATAAAGAATATCAAAACAGTCACTTATTTATTAACTCATATTCCGTAAAGCCTACGCAATAAACTGTATTAATATATTACAAAACTACCATCCTTACACCATATAGGATAGGATTGAGTTGTGCAATAAGGACGGGAATGACCGAAGCCCGCTTCCTGGTTCAAGGTAGGAAGTCATCGACACACAATGTCATTGCAATTATGTCATCTGAATAGCTGACAAAATAGGTACATCGTAGAATAACCGAAGAGGAAATTATTTTAAATCAAATCTCATACACGTAATATATAATTGGAACATTAAAAACATGTTTGTTTTATTTTTATCAAAATAAGATACCATTACAGAATACGGCTACAGTTCACATTTAGATTACATAGAAACAACAACACAACAATCTTACAGTATAGGAACTGACATGAAAGAAACCTTGTATCAGTTTACTCAACGGACAATTAAAAAATCTATACAGTTCATTAATTATTTCCATACATAGCATCATGTGTGCCCTTTTCGAGTTAAATTGTTAAAATTACCAAACATGTTTTTTTAATACCTCCAAGGATTCACTTGGGAGGTTTACAACAAATAGTAGATAAAAAATAAAAGTTGCCTTCTCTCTCTTTCTTCGTCTTTTTAACTCAAATTTAATAAACTTCCACAGCAGTAATTATAGTCATATTAATTATTTGTAAAATTCATAAGTCATCATCAAGTCAAGTACAAACAGTAATCAAAATGGTAGTACGCTCTGATTGGTCCATGCGTTAATTGATCATGTCCTTGAATTTTAATTTATGATATCACTAAGTTTACCAGACAAATTGACTGATATACTTTAAAAAAATACCTGAGCTTCATAAGTCCAGGAACCAAACTTCATAAAGCATGTCTGCCCGTTGAAGGGGAATTACTCCATAATAATAATCTTCACCTAAAGTACCTATCACAATCATCGCTTGTATGATTTATTTCGTAACGAACAACAACAATTATTTCCGGAAAGAATCTACTTGTCTATTGCCAAATTTGTAGTAAAACATGTTGAAACGTTTCCCCATGCTTTGTAGGGAGCATAAAAGTCTAAAGTAAAAAACAAAGATACCTCATAATTTCCATCCCAATACAGCACTTTGTCTGGCAACCAAATGTGTTCCGAGGGTACGTACAACATCTCAACACCGCCGTAGTCTGCTGGATCCCAGGTTAACTTGTAATCCTGCCATTTCTGAAAACATTGACATTTAAAAACAAACAACAAACAATCGTTTATTGTTAAAAGGACGAACATTTTCCCTTTTTTGGTTTTGGAAATTAATTTTAATATTTATTAATCCTATACCATTGATTACGGCCAAAAATTTACAGTATCAGTACACAAGTATGTACAACATACCGCACATAAAAAACAAAAAATGTTTTTGGAAATGATAACAAATGCACAAGGCATCTATTTTTTTTACGTTTACAACGATTAAGCTCAAATAACATGATTTTTTTTGCCAGTGTCTTATGGTCCAGTACCACCCGCCTCTCATGGTCACCCCTTTCAAAGGACGGTTAGCTGGGCTATGATTATTATTTTTGGAAGTGATTAACAATCCCAATACTACACAAGTATAAATTAAGATATTCAAGGAATACACGTTTTCAACCATTTGGTTGCCATGACTTGATTCTCTAACTTGACCTCCATAAGTTGGGATAGCTTTAAAGTCTTACAGTTAATATGTCACTCACATTAATGACTGGGCGAATGAGCCTATTATAATTACTGAGAAGATCATCGTAGAGCCGCTTCACATCGGGGTTTGCCTCTAATAGCTTTACACCTGTAAAATTAAAATAAATTACCTTAATCATTTTAAGGTAATTTAGAAAAATTCATAAACAAAAAAGCTTTAAAATATTTCAAAATGAAATAACATATAGAAACAATACAAATATTTTTAAAGTACTGGACAATTTAATACAATCTACAAATGTCAAAATCGAAGTTTGAATGGAATTTTCATGGGAAATTTCTGATGAAACATTCTTTTATTCAATATTATTTTACTATTATAAATTCTAAAAATTCACAACAAATATTTATAAAAGCACTGGGCCATTTAATACAATCGACAAATGTGAAAATGAAATTTTCTTATGAAACATTCTTCAATTCGAAATTGTTGTTATTATAAATGCGCACTTTGTCGAGTGACTTCTTCATACTCAACTACAAAACGAATAGCCAATGTCCAAAAGACGGAGTTACAAGTTTAATAAAATATTTAGATAGAGTGATTCCATACTCCAAATCAACCTTATAATGAATTTGTGGGAATGCGTAAAGTGTATGTTAATAGACTGTTTAAGGATTTTAATGCAATTTATGACATACCCCAGCAAATGTTTATGAAATTAAACAGAGGCCGCAAAAAACACAAACTTCATCTTCGAAAAATCTGGTTTGTAGTAGAAATCTACACTCTGTTGAGGGAGTATATTGGATAGAAGGATAAGGATACCACAATCCAAAGCGCATACGTAATCAATAACCATGTCCCGCCTATTCAGATTCAAAATATGAAATATCTGATACATTGGATTTAATTCTTTCTTACTTAAAATAAACTTCGAGAAATATTGAGGATTGTTGTATTGTATTGAATATAATACCGTTTAAAATAAACACTCATCTGTATCTATTAAACAAAGCGTGAACACATTTTATGACAAAATACTTTCTTAATAGGTAGCATAAGACTGTTTCTAGTTTTCATGGATATCTATTCTCGTTTTTCAATTGATTTTCTATTGGCCTAGGAGTTCATACGATGGTCACTTTATATCGTCATGCATCTAAAATGCGAGCAGAAATAAGAACAGCGAAAAATATTTTCACACTAATATAATGTGAAGTGAAAATAGCAACCATTTGATTAGCAAGAATAAGACAAGCAAGTACTGTTTATGTGGTGCGAGCGCCAAAGAAGTGAGCCCCTCCACGCGACGGGTCCTGGTTTATAGCCGCCAGCTGCGCATCGCATGACATTTTCAGCTTATCATACAATAAATCAATTATTATGACTAATGCAGTTGAATGTTATATTCAACTGCATGCGGAATTAAAACTGATCAAGTAAATTTAAAGTATTTTAATTCGATTTGTTTTGTATATTTAATGTTTATATTTACTAGAAGCAGGATGGTTTCCACAATAGAAGAGTGGGGCTATTGTGGATTAATTAAATATATTGGCCGATTTTCCCGCATGTTTGGCTCATTTCCGTTTATAATGTCATCTGAACCAAAAGTCGCAACATGGCAAAAGTACTATGGAATATTTATCATCCTACCATGGATAAGTATGTGTAATATTACTATAATTTTTAAATTCTCTGTCTAATTATGTAAAATATTCATTTTTTTTATAGAACGGGGCCAAAGGGACAGGTGGCTCACATGACGTTAAGTGATACCGTCGCCAATGGACACTCTCAATGCCAGAGGACTAGCGAGTGCGTTGCCAGCCTTTAAGAATTGATACGCTCTTCTTTTGAAGGACCCTAAGTCGAATTGGTTCGGAAATACTTAAGTGGGCAGCTGGTTCCACATAGTGTTGGTGCGCGGCAAAACTTCATCAAAAAATGCTCAGTTTTGGAACTACGGACGTTGAGGTGTTACGGGTGGAATTTCGTATTCTGCCTCGACGTCCGATGATGAAACTCAACTGCCGGTATAAGTCCGAACATCTCCCCTGAACACTTTCCATTGTAAATGCAGAGTGACCCCACATCTCTACGCAACGCCAAGGCAAGGAAAGGGATTGGTCGTCGGCGATTCGAACCGCTCTTCGTTGAATACGGTCAACTGGAAAGAGCTGGTACTGGGGAGATCCAGCTCAGAGGTCAGAACAGTACAGAGAACAGAACAGTACATGTGGGGACGAATTTACAAGGGCTGGAAGCTTCAAGAGCAGTGCTCTGTGCCACACCCGAAGGCTCTCTTGAAGCTGCACTTCCAGCACTTAAGGACAATACCGAGCGAGTACAGGTACCGGTAAAGACGCGTTCAGCCCGAAGCCTAAGCGATGAAAAAGGCATCAACTATTTAACATTGATTTAGTTAAAGACGATTTTTCTACACTATATAGGTCGTACGTCATGGTGAACGTTTTTCAGATACTGATTTCTTCTATTCTCTATATATAGAGACTAAGGACATTACAGAAAGTTCTGGCAATGCATGGCCTGTGATATATTTAATTTATACAGCATTCTCAGTGTTGTATATCAATATGGCTGTTTGGACCGCACCAACCCGCATTTATTCCTGGATATCGTGTTTAAAGAATATTGAAAAGGTACTGTATATCTTCTGCGCAAAACAATAACAACAACTTTCCAAATTTTTAAAAAATTATACTAAATTTTTACAGATATTAATAAGAACTAAGGAAACAGATAAACAGGAATTGTTTAAATGTAAAGTGTTAACTGTCTACTTAATAACTACATTATTTGCTATATTCGCAAATTCTGTAAAGTTGTGTATGGATTTGGATAAATGCACGAACTGTAAGTTTTTTAATCAGTTGACACTCAAAAAGGTTTATGGGCATATATGGCATAAGGGCGTTTCTGTGATTTCTGATTTTATTAAAATATTTTGAATATCAAAGAACAGCACAGTAAGTTATGCCAAATTAATAATAAGTTACAATAAGAGACAGAGCAGTGTTGGCTTAGTGGCTTCAGCGTGCGACTCTCATACCTGATGTCGTAGGTTCGATCCCTGGCTGTGCACCAATGGAATGGATTCTTTCTATGTGCGCATTTAACATTTGCTGGAACGGTGAAGGAAAACATCGTGAGGAAAACGACATGTCCTAGACCCAAAAAAAAAAGTCGACGGCGTGTGTCAGGCACCGGAGGCTGATCACCTACTTGCCTATTAGATTTAAAAATGATCATGAAACAGATTCAGAAATCTGAGGCCAAGACCTAAAGAAGTTGTAGCTCCACTGATTTATTTATTTATTTTTACAAAGAGAGATATTACCAGACTAGATGACATATCTACATTTCTATTAAATTAGGCTTTTGTTTCAGTTTACTTTTTATATAAATTTAATGGTTTATTCTTCTATACTTTGTGTAAGATCTGTGACTTGTTTTTATTCATAATACTAATATTTCGGGTACATACAGCTACGAAAATAATGAATGAAGAACTGAAAAAGCTTCTGCATGAAAGAGGTATGTTTGAATTATTGCCAATAATTTTATTAAGACACTTATGTACAATTTCAACTACCTCTTTGGTCCAGTGATTGACACATTTGACTTGACATTGCTAACTAATATATAAAAGTATAATCATTGTCTATAGTAATTGCTTGCCATTTAACAAAAAAATAAAACTCTTTGGTGATACTTCATACAATAATTGTCTTTTGACCAGAATATAAATATTATAATCACATCTGTCTGTCATAATTATTAAGTAGACATCACAGGACACTGAAGAGCTAGCTACCTTGGACAAAAAAATAGTCTATCTATTCAAAGGGGGAACACTGCCAGTCTTCGGAATCTTGCCTATAGGGACTCTTTTTAATAATATATTTTAGTTATTATATTTTGAGGTTAGTTATTGTTTTTTGTTGTATTAATTTATGTTAGCTGTAGAATTACTTTATTTTAACATTGTTAATATTTTCTACTTTTACACAGCGAAGGTAATTCAAACTATTGATATATTTTATAGATAATGTATTTACTTATTATATGATCAGATTTATTTACCTTAATCTTTGAGTTTAATAATATTGATATCGATTGGATTGACCCTGCTTTATTTATGTATAAAAATAAATGGTAAGACCATTTCTTTTTATAATATTAAATTAGTTATTATGAACATTTAAGTAATATAATATTGTGAGATGAAGTTTTTCTTGTTTGTTAATTATAATTTTACGTAACCGCATAAACGAGACACCATTCAATATTATATGAAAGTAGTGGGACTAAAATTTTCTTTAAAAAAAAACTGATCTGAGACTGGCAAAATAAACAAGGTTTTGGCAAAGTATTTAAGTTTTGAAACGTATCCAATCGTCTCAAAACAAGGTTTTGGCAAAGTATTTATATGCTTAAATTAAAGTGGTTTACGATTTTGGTTATTCTTTTATTCGTATATTTTTTCAGACGTGGACAATAGACTAATTTTGCGGAACAATTACATGATTGGGTCAAGGTTTGAAGGTAAAGTAAAAAATATAAATAAAACACTATAATTAAAATATTAAATTAAATAATTAAGCCTGACACTAAGGATTTTTTTTTTAAATATAAATATTTATGAAGATTGATAATAGTATACATTATGTAATATTCCAAATAATATTAAATCAATTAATTCCAAATAATTACCTTATGAGAACTTTAATTTATTATATTATATTATATTATATTATATTATATTATATTATATTATATTATATTATATTATATTATATTATATTATATTATATTATATTATATTATATTATATTATATTATATTATATTATATTATATTATATTATATTATATTATATTATATTATATTATATTATATTATATTATATTATATTATATTATATTATATTATATTATATTATATTATATTATATTATATTATATTATATTATATTATATTATATTATATTATATTATATTATATTATATTATATTATATTATATTATATTATATTATATTATATATTTTAATTATTTCTGTTTTCTCTTTGACTCTCAGCCCAAAACTTCAGCCATGGAGAAGGAGCTGAGAAAATTCGCAAACTTACTAGTTCCTATAAGATAATAAGTGATGTAATTAAGACAGTTATGGAGTCTGGGGAAATGGGCTTCTTTTTATACATTATGGGTAACCTTGTACGTTTGATGACTAGGGCCAATGACTATGTTTATTTGAATTATGCCGTCCATGGGGAGAATTTTGGTAAGTATATAAATTAAAAAAGAAATCTCGTATATATCCTGAATTATCGTTGTTTTGGTACTGTGTAAATATGTGGTTCTTATGGACTAATCGGTTAGTACGTGGAACCCGTACTATGACCATGATATCATGGTACCTTGACCAAATTCAAACTTCATATTTGAAGGCTATAAAATCCAAGTCTTGGAAAAAAATAGTCACAATTATAATTATCTTTAAATTAGATATATCTGTCACCGTAAAATTGTAAACACCGTTAGATTGTAATCTATCTCGCGAGATTATGAACTGTCAAAAGATAACAATCTACCGAATAATAATACGTTAAATTGTAAGCAGTACGTTGAGTTCACAATCTTTCGACAATTCATGATCTCGCGAGATAGATTACAATCTAACGGTGTTTACAATTTTACGGTGACATATCTTTCGCTTTATTGTGTCAAAATATTTTTTACGTTGTGATGAAAAGAGACAGATGAGTATTTCTATTACGACTTCAGTTACTTTCGATCGATAAAACCTTCTTTATTTATAGACGGATCCTACATGCTCACAAGCATCTTGGAGATATTCTGGTGTACCCAAATTGTTGCGAAATCATTTCTGTTTTGCGAGGGACCCCATCAAATTCAACGCCAGGTAAATCATACCTATTAACCATACCGGACGAAGATGTGTTTGAAAATGTTCTGCTAATATGGTGTTTTTTAGTTAATGTAGATTATGGATGACATTGTGGATGAGAGTAGTATCATAAAAACATTAAGATGTACTCGTATGTTTACCATAAAATTCTGGAATCAAATTTCTGAATGAGGCAACGTGAACTTTATATGACTGATACACACTGTTAACTTTTTGGCTATAAAAACAGTCTCTTCGCGATGTTTTCCTTCACTTTGCGACAAGTAATATAAGCGCACATAGACAGAGAGTCCATTGGTACAACGGTACTAACCTACAACTAGGGATGAGAGAGGCTTCGGAACCCATTAGACCAATACTGACACCTCTAATTTAGTTAAGAACAAAAAAATATTAGCCAACAAATATTTTATAAACGTTTAGTAAGACATATCTTCAAAACCAATATGTGTAAATTACACGTTTGTGTTTTTAATAACTAAATTAATATTTTAGTTGCAAGAAACTCAAGACTTAATCGCGAGACTGAAGAAGAAATATCACGAGGATAATATATCAAATTACTTACACTTATTTCTTCGTTTGACGAGGCTCAATCGACCCACTTTTACGCCGCTTAGCGTCTGTACTCTGAATAGGGGTTTAGTTGCTAAGGTAGGTATTCATTGTCAACTTAGATAAATACGATGTTGTATGCAACCACGGAACAATTAACTTCCTTTTATCTAATTAATTTCCATTTTATTTTCCAATTAAGTTAGAAGAACTAATCAATTCGACATTGTAAGTATGTATATATATTACGAGATGTTTTAGAAAATCTGGGCACTCATAAATGACAATTGTTTTGTTTATTATTGCATGCTTTAAACGATAACGATAACTGATTATAAACCTGACATACTTAGGCCGCTAATTCACCGGGATGCCATGGCATAGTCGCTGGCTACGTATCCAAACAATTTGTATTGAAATGTATGGCAGTTAACTCGCAATTTGGAAGCGCAGCCAGGACCACCCGTTCTCTTTGTGGGGGGGGGGGGGGGGGCCGGGGGGGGGCCCCCAAAAAAAAAGAAAAAAGAAAGGGGGGCCCCCCAAAAAAAAAAAAAAAAAAAAAGAAGGGGGGAAGGGGGGGGGGGGTTTTTTTTTTTGGGGGGGGGGGGGGGGGGGGATAGCCAGTAACTAACTGGCGACGTCGCCATGGCGTCCAGCAGCTTAAACAGGACACAATTTTCTTACAAAGACTTTCAAAATTTTAGTGAAAGCTACTGGTTCTCATTTGTGGAATTTGTCCGTTTCAGTTAACCTCGTTAAATTTTTTTTTTAGATACGTGGCACGCTGGCGACATAGGGGAGGGCCGGCCCCCCCCTTCGGGTTTTTCGCAAACATTTTATTTTTTTTTTCAAAAACAAACATCTTCAAACACTTAAATCGTCTATACTATCAAGATTCATATAAGAAAATGACAAAGATTTCGTCCATGGTCACTATACTAAACCTAAAAGAACTACTAAGGAACCTTCGTACATTTGAGGTATTGCTGGGGGTGGTTCCTTCGGTGAGATAAAACCACCTTAATCTTCATTTATTAGCATGAAATTTCCTAATAAAAAAATAAAATACTTATATGAAACGAAGTTTAGAAACCAAAATTTAATTAGTTAGGTATCTTAATTAGACCAGGTACATAACTGGCGACGTTCGCCATGGCGTCCCTTTTCGGGTGGCAGTTAGTCAGCCTTAAACAGGAATACTTGATGGATTGGTAAATTATTCAAAGCATCTGGTTAAATCTTACCATAAAATAAAATAGGTAATAAAAATACATTGACGATACTTGTAGCAACACAGGACAAAGTTAATGGAAATTTTAGTGAATTAGCTACACTACCCGTTTAGTCAAGATGCCTCGTTATAATTTGTTTTTTTTTTTTTTAAGATACATTCGGATGTCATTAGTGCTGTCCGACCAAACATTTTTTATTATAGGAAAACGTCATAAATTTAGTTTTTGGAAGTTTTTTTTTTTTTTTTTTTTTTTTTTTTAAAAAAAACCCCCCCCAAAAAAATTTTTTTTTTTTGGGGAAAAAAAAAAAAAGGGGGAAAATTTTTTTTTTTTTTTTTTTTTTTTTTTTTTTTTTTTTTTTTTTTTTTTTTTTTTCCCCCCCCCCTTTTTTTTTTTTTTTTTTTCATACTTATTGGCATTCATACAACTGGAAATATATGAGAAGTCAAAAAAGTAAGAAGAGTTTGGGTATTATAGTGCTAAATAAAACATTATTTTCAAAAAGCACCTTAGTGTATGTGTGTGCATTTAGCATAATTTCGGTACAGATTAAGAGATACGCTTTAAGTAAAAATTTATAAAAGCATACATCGTATTCATAGATTAACAGAAGACGTTTCAAAACGAACGTTTAAAATAGAATCCAAAGTGGTTTTAAAAAGATTATCCAAATCGTAAAACAACTGAATTATTCCATTGACGGCAAGCGAAGTACATAAGTTAAGGGATTAAAAAGACTCTTACATACAGTGGTGAGTGTGCGGTAATTTCCAGAAGACGATGAGAAAGATCTTCATTTCTATTTTTTATTTTCATATTTGGGGCTAGGGTATTCATTATTTTGGATATATTTTTTATATTTATCAAAATTTAAAGTAAGACCTTTTAAAATTAAATCTGCTATAATCTTAGATATATCTGAAAGTACAACATCTGCGTTACCTCCTAGAGTACCATCGTCAAGATACCAGACCTTAAAATTAGATTAAAAATATGCCGGCCCACGAGGATCTCCTTGTTAACAACCAACTTCTGAAGAGAGTTAGTAACTCTTTTATGTTACTATTGATGGCTCTGAGTAACACTATAAAAGATAGTTATATATTTTTGGAATGTTTTATATTAGTTTTATTTGAATTCAATAAATCAAAAGTATATATATTCGTTATATGTAATAACTGCATATAATATAGCAAATAACAGTATTTACATTTATAGAAACTTAAAATAAATTTTATCTAGAAGTTACATGCAAATCTAATTTGATAAAAAATCAAAATGAAAATATTTTAATACACCTCTCATTTGTAGAATAAGATGTATTGTAGCAATTTTAATAATTAAAGGCATAAAATACTCATGACCGAATTTGACTTGGGTAACTTTCTGTATCAATTCTTTCGTTGAGTGTTATTACAATTTAAATAAATATATAGTAAAATTAAAAAGCCTTTTTTTTCAAACTTCTTTACTAAACCTATTCAGTACACGTAAAATCCTTATAAATAAATCCTGTAAAATGTATTATCTTTTATTTTTCTTCACTTGAACGTATTTTATACTTCGCGTATAATACCTCTCGTAATCTTCACTACCTGAAACCAGATATTGTTACATCAATATACAATTATAACTTTTGATTAACATCATATACTCTATTTTTAATCAAATTAATGAAACTCCAGAAGAAATAACCTTACCGTCTGCTGGATATTTGGGCAGCGGCCACAGGCTAAATGGGTAGAAATAGGCACTTGGTACTCTTCTAACGATTATGGGTTTTTCTTGAGTTTTTCGCTCTGTAACAAGTGGAAATAATTCCTTTTAATAAGTCAGACTATTCAGCTGAAATAATATAAATACGTTTGACGCTTTATTTGGATATTACAGTATAACTTTATTAAAAATAAATTATTTATTGCCACCCCAAATAAAATACTACAGGTGTCAAAACGCTCAGTTATTTATTAACTGATATTTCGTTAAGACGTTATAAACGGTATTAAAATATTCCAAAATTACCATAACTATATATATATATATATTATGTATGCTATATATAGGATAGATAGATAGATAGGGTTAAGTTGTGCAATAAGGAAGGGAATGACCGATGCCGGCTTCCTGGTTCAAGGTAGGAAGTCATCGACACACAATGTCATTGCTATTATGTCATCTGAATAGCTGACAAAATAGGTACATCGTTAGAATAGACGAGGAAATATATCGGATCTTGGACAAGTAATTGGAATTAAAATATTTCAAACATATTGCGTCCTTGCCCAAGTCGAATCGTATAAACAAATCGAAATAAAGATTTTTTTTATAGAACAGGGGGCAAACGAGCAGGCTCATCTGAAGTTAAGTGATACCGCCGCCCATGGATACTCTTAGTGTCAGAGGGCTCGCGAGTGCGTTGCCGGACTTTTAAGAATTGGTACGTTCTTTTCTTGAAGAACCCTAAGTCGAATTGAAACGCATCTTCATTTCCATTTTTCTATTTTATATTACAAATTAATTTACATTATTTATGGTACAATTATATCTGATTGCATAAGTTGAGAGATTGCAACATATGTTAAACAACATGCCGTAACGTCTAGTAATCAGATAGGAATTAGGATTCACCGGGGAGTAGAAAAAATAAAATTCGAAGTTCCCTATTTCACGTTTCTTAACTTCTGCTATTAAATAAATTGCCACAGCAGTAATAGACAAGCCAATTAAAATCTTGTAAAATAACTAGAAATAGTAATCAAATCATGAAGATAAATTTTTCATATTTTAACTGCCTGCGTTGTATATTACAAAATAGACCATAAATATGTCACCTGTCAACATAAATCGTGCATTACAAATTAATTTGCTGACAATTGCTCTATCACCGACACTTCCCGGTTTAACGTAGGTGTGCAACCACTTAACAGCACAGACTACAACGTAATAGTCACAATTGTTGTGTCTTAGTACTATAGTCTCGTAGTAGTTACCAGAATAATCCACATAGGGAGTTCCTTTTTACGCCTTATTATTCCCTCATAGCCTCTCCTCATCTACCCAACTGCTTCCTACATCAAGAGAACGTTACGTTGTACAATCATTCATCAGCATTGTGGTACCCTTTATACTTTTGTCAACTATTTGTCAAGTTGAGAATACACCATTCTTCGATTTAGGATATAAATCGCGGGCCTTATATGTAGCGGTCCAAAGAACGTTTCTTAAATATATTATTTATTAATTACAATTAAAAGCAGTGTTGGCATTGTGGCTTCTGCGTGCCATTCTCATCCCTGAGGTAGTAGGTTCGATCCCCGGCTGCACCAATGGATCTCTGTCTATATGCGCATTTAATATTCGCTCGAACGGTGAAGGAAAACATTGTGAGGAAACCGGCTTGCCTTAGACCCAAAATGTCGCGGCGTGTGTCAGGCACAGGAGGCTGGTCCTACTTGGCTACTAGATTGACAAATGAACATGAAACATATACAGATATCTGAGGACCAGACCTAAAAATGTTGTGCGCCACTGCTTTATTTTTTTATTTATTAGTTGCAGTCAGCTCAAAGCGTTCGTTCGATTGACAAATCAATCGTGAAGATTGGTGTGCAGCTATTCATATTGTTTGTAAATAACAAAAACGTATGCGTTAAATTTTAAACAACCTTCGGGTTTTAATAAATAAAATAGCACTAAACTATTTGTGTTTGTACCAGCCAAATCTGTATATTTGAGATATAATTGTTCCTTGCTTTTCGAAACGCCGCGATACAGACATCAAGACCCAACAGTTTAATATTTAATTATCTTCGGTTCAAATATACTTTATTTTCTCAAAGATTATTACACTTATCTCGCTTAAGTGATGCTGATATTACAATATTATATAATTCAAAGTGTATTTGCGGCAGCAATTGAAAACTTTCCAGTATGACAAACATGTTCTTAGGAAAATAACAAAGGCATTCAAATACGACCAGGAAAATAAACAAATAAAATCCTTATAACTCTACATATGATATTAAAATGTCTTTTATTAAAAACGCATATATGAATTTTAGCATATTGACCCTAATTTTATATTATAGGTTCATTTGAGGTGGGTACTGGGTAGTGCGTCAGGAAGTTCCTTTTTAGGACGCGGTAGCCACGATGTGATTTATATTATGTAATAAGCGACCACTGACCTGCATATTTCTTATTTTGGGGCCAGGTCACAGTGTTTTAATAATAGAATACAAGTTTGATTTAATTGTTCTTAGTATATTAATATTAAGTTATACTGGGTGGCGCAAAAGTAAAGACCCTATTTGGTTCAGCTATAACATTTTTTCTAAATTAGAAATCTAGATTTAGGTTTTTTTTAAATGTATATTTGTGCCATTAAATTTCGTACCATTAGGATTTAAAGATGATGTCTTTTAAATGGTGACCTCCAGAGTTGATGCACATTTGAGCCCTATTTATGACATTTTGCATAACTTGCCGTAATACTTCATGCGATATGTTCCTTATTTCTTGATGAATGTTTTCTTTCAGAGCTGCGAGAGTCTGTGGCTTGTTC